GGTGTCCGGCCGGACGGCTCCGGATGCTAGTTTTTGGTGATTTCATCGAGTGGTGTCGTTCTCTGAGTTTTTTTCTTGTTTTGCTTACTTCGGCTTAGTTTTTCAATCAGTGTCTATGCTCGTGTCAGATTTGATATTCGTTGTGTTCACACCATATCAGCTTTGTAGTCTTTGTAGCATTAAGTGCATGTCCAAGCATGCACGGGCACCGTGTGCGTGAAGTGTGGCTGTTCTGGTGGAAACGACATGCAGACAAGCGTGCTGCTGGCTGTTTTTAATTCAAGACAATATCTCCAGCGAATTCACAGACGCACGCCTCCTCCCGTAGCCATGAACAAACGAGGTCGGGCTGCCAGCCCTGTCAGAGAGCAAGGCAGCAGCGACGAGCACAGTTCTGGGTGCAATGGGGGGAATGGCCGAGCTGAGAGGTCCAGGTCTCCAGTTCGGCCGCCCCCACCCAGGGGCCCACCCATCTGGAAATGGTGCTGGAAAGTAACAGACGGAGTCTGGTGGTGGTTGTGGTGGCGGGAATGAATCAGGGCTCGCCACCCGGTCGGTCCATTTACCAGGGGGCGTCCTTCGTCCCGGATCTTCAGAACNNACTGAAAAGTTCCTGTTGAGCCGACACGAAGATGAAGCATGACTCCAGTTGGGATTGCACGAGGGCCTAGCATTTGTGGTTGCCGATCTCTTCAATTTGTTTGTGGTTCCAAGAACCGCAACACGTTCTAAGAGCATGGCCGGGTTTGCACTCAAACCCTTGCATCGACAGAATTTCCTTTGCTACAGAGACAAGAGAAACACACCTGGGAAATATGTTGGGATTTTCAGGTCGCTTCAGATTTATTTAATGACGAGGTCAAGGACTCGCAGTTTGGGGTGTGGGTTTAGTGTCTTGCTAGGATCCAGAAAATTTGTGATTCCGGGTCAGTCAGCGGCAGCTCCTATGATAAAGTGAGGATTTCTGTTGCACAGGCTGCAGTGCAGATCAAACAATTGTTGCACACAGCAGGCATTTGCTGACCGAGTCTCCCCGTGTCTCCCCTGCCTTTGGCATGGCTTCCGAACAAAATAGCCAGCCGGTCTCCTTAGAGCACATGCTTTACAAGCTGGGTGGCCCTTTCCGGCTGCTGTCACGGCCCCTGCGGGTGTGTGAACCCTGTGTCGGCATCGGGGGCCTGCGTCGGCTGATTCTGGCTTGCGGAGGTCAGTATGAAGCCACCGCAGCTTACGATGTGGATATTGCCTTAGGGGCTTTCTACAGCAGCCTGCAAAAGCACAAACCTAGTGCGGCAGGGGAGAACTTGGCCAAGGTTCACATCGGCCCATTGCAGGGGGACATTCTGAATTGCTCCCTGCTCGAAATGGAAACCTGTGAAGCCTTGGTGGGAGGGCCTCCGTGCCAACCGTGGTCGGCGTCCGGAGAAAAAGCCGGCTGTGAGGATGCCCGTGCGGATGTTATGGACCAGACCATCAACATGGTCATCGAGCAAGCATGGCGAGGTCAGCTATGCATTGTGGTCATAGAGAACAGCAGCCTTCTGCTGACAAGTCCGTTCCTTGCTGAGATCATGAGGCGGTTGGAGATCTCGGTACCCTTCTTCCGGTGGGAAGTATGCAAGAGTGATCTCTCACGAATTTTCCCACACTCCAGGGAGAGATGTTGGTTGCGAGGAATGCGTCGGGATGCAATGCTAGCATCCGAGCTGCCAGCACCGTTGCAGAGGGAAGACCTGGAAGGACATATCCCTCTACAGAGCCTGCTGGACACTGTGGTGCAGCCATTTAACCCCATCAAACTCAGCAAGAACCAACAGTGCAACCTGGTTGCTTACATGGAACAAATACGGATTGATGCTGCGAAGGGTGTTGCAGGGCAAATTGCTTTGTTCGAAGTAGACAGGTCTCCCTTTAAAAAGTTTGGGACGAAGATGATGTATGACCGCTGCATGGCTTTGCGAACAACAGGGCCCCCGATTTTCATGGTGATGACCAGCGAGGTTGACAAACCCTGGTCGGAGCACACACTGCATCGTTACCTTTCCTTGGAGGAAAGATGTAAGGTCCAAGGCCATGAAGCGAGTTTGGCCCTTCACTTTCCAACAAAGGCGGCTTTGCTCAGGGGCACGGGGAATGCTTTCCACCCGTTACACCTGGCCTCCATGCTCATGCCCATGGTCCGAGAGGCATATCTCACCGGTGTGTTGAGCCGGGCTGGCCCCAACAGCCTGTCCAGCCAGCAGTTGCTTGAGTTGTTGCCTGGGACAGAAGAATTGTTGGCCGGGTCGCTTTGGTCGGCAACAGAGGCTCGGGGGAGAAAATCACAGACTCCCGCCAAGACACCCGGAAAGAAAACCTCACGGCAGTTTGGCCTTCGTCGGGGGAGATCACAGACTCCCAGCACGACACCGGAAAAGAAAACCTCGCAGCAGTTTGGCCTTCGTCGGGGGAGATCAGAGACTTCCGCGACA